ACTACTACTACTATTATAACTAGCACTACTATGATAAAATGCTGATAGTTATATATTTTGCTTGTGTATTGTATGTGTACAATTAAATTGATGATTATAATAGCTAGCTAGCTAGCTAGATAGCTGACAAGCAAGTAAGCAAGCGTGTAAAAATTATAATCAAAAAAATTTTTTAGGTACACATGCAGTATATAATGTGTATTATCACATTTCCCCGATTGATTCTGTCGGCGGTTATATGCTTGTCTCAAAGGCTAAGCCATGCATGTCTAAGTTCAAATAACCTATAATGGTGAAACCGCGAACGGCTCATTATAACAGCTATAATGTACTTGATGTTGAATTATCTAACGTGGATAACTGTGGCAATTCTAGAGCTAATACATGCACCAAAGCTCAAACTAAAAGGATGAGCGCATCTATTAGAATGAATAAACCAATGGGGTTTGTAAAAGAACTCATAAAATAATTGGTGAATCTGAATAGCTATAGCTGATCGCATGGTCTTGTACCGGCGACGTATCTCACAAGTGTCTGCCTTATCAACTTTCGATGGTAGTTTATGTGCCTACCATGGTTGTAACGGGTAACGGAGAATAAGGGTTCGACTCCGGAGAGGGAGCCTGAGAAACGGCTACCACATCCAAGGAAGGCAGCAGGCGCGCAAATTACCCACTCTCGGCATGAGGAGGTAGTGACGAAAAATAACGAGACCGTTCTCTTTGAGGCCGGTTATCGGAATGGGTACAATTTAAACCTGTTAACGAGGATCTATGAGAGGGCAAGTCTGGTGCCAGCAGCCGCGGTAATTCCAGCTCTCAAAGTGTATATCGTCATTGCTGCGGTTAAAAAGCTCGTAGTTGGATCTGCGTCTTAGGACTTGGTCCATCCGATTGGATGTGAACTAAGAACCTAGACTAATATTTAGCTAGTTTTACTGTATGTTACCTTAATTGGTTGCATATAGTGGCTGGCATGTTTACCTTGAAAAAATTAGAGTGCTTAACGCGGGCTTATAATGCTTGAATACTCGTGCATGGAATAATGAAATAGGATCTTGATTGTTGTATGCCTATTTTGTTGGTTTAAAACATAAATACAATTGAGATAATGGTTAAGAGGGACGGACGGGGGCATTCGTATCGCTGCGTGAGAGGTGAAATTCTTGGACCGTAGCGAGACGCCCAACTGCGAAAGCATTTGCCAAGAATGTCTTCATTAATCAAGAACGAAAGTCAGAGGTTCGAAGGCGATCAGATACCGCCCTAGTTCTGACCGTAAACGATACCAACTAGCGTTCCGTTGGCGGTAAATACGCCTTGACGGGCAGCTTCCCGGAAACGAAAGTTTTTCGGTTCCGGGGGAAGTATGGTTGCAAAGCTGAAACTTAAAGAAATTGACGGAAGGGCACCACCAGGAGTGGAGCCTGCGGCTTAATTTGACTCAACACGGGAAAACTCACCTGGCCCGGACACCGTGAGGATTGACATATTGAAAGCTCTTTCATGATTCGGTGGTTGGTGGTGCATGGCCGTTCTTAGTTGGTGGAGTGATTTGTCTGGTTTATTCCGATAACGAGCGAGACTCTAGCCTACTAAATAGTTTATGCTGGATAAATGTATTCGTACGCTAGTCCAGACAACTTCTTAGAGGGACAAGCGGTGTTTAGCCGCATGAAGTTGAGCAATAACAGGTCTGTGATGCCCTTAGATGTCCAGGGCTGCACGCGCGCTACACTGGAGGAATCAGCGTGCTGTAACCATTGCTGAAAAGTTATGGTAACCCCTTGAAAATCCTCCTTGATCGGGATCGGGAATTGCAATTATTTCCCTTGAACGAGGAATTCCTAGTAAGTGTGAGTCATCAGCTCACGTTGATTACGTCCCTGCCCTTTGTACACACCGCCCGTCGCTGCCCGGGACTGAGCCGTTTCGAGAAAAGCGGGGACTGCTGTTTCGATACCTTCAAATTTCGTAAGGTGGAGATTCTTTGGTGGAAACCGCTTTAATCGCAGTGGCTTGAACCGGGCAAAAGTCGTAACAAGGTTTCCGTAGGTGAACCTGCGGAAGGATCATTACCGAGCTTTAAAAAAAAC